CGCCCAGGGGGCATCCTTGTCAGATGCCCGAACCACCTCAGCTGGCTCCTCCTTAATCTTCTGATTTACAAATACAAGCAGCTATAATATAAGCGGCTTACCCCAAGACTGGAGGCGCTGTACTGCACGGTGGACGCAACTCAAACGCGTCTCTCCACCATGGCTGGAGTAAAGAAAAGAGAAACAGCCGTGCTGTAGCGGGCCACACTATCTGATCGCCTCGGTAAATTAAACAATAGGCCAGCATTTACTGCTGTGTTGCGCCAGAAGCTCGGGAGGAATGAACCAACAAAAAAAACGGCTTCCCTTTATACAGACAGTCACCACCCTGTAATCAATATGCAGGTGGGTTCCTAATTATCCCAATCACATGATACAAGGAGCGAGTGCATCGGAAATAGAGGGAGAGAAGGTGAAGCGAGCAAGCAAAGAACCAGCGAGAGAGACGCACACAACCCATCCGGCCACATCTACCCCCCCTTTTTGCATTGGCGCCCTGACAATGACTCAAGGAAGCACTAACACCATGGCCTGAATATGGCAAGCTGAGCATTAGCGACTGGTCCGGATTCAGCAGGGCATGGCAAGTGATGGATGTTAGAGTGCTGATCAGCTGTGGAGCGTGCTGTTCTCCGCAATTGTGGCTACTCACCTCAGACTGTCTGACCGAGCCTGAGGAAGAATCTGGGGGAGCAGAGGTCGGGGGTACTACAGGTGTCACGGCCTGGGGGTTCAGCTGGTCGCTGATCAGCTGTCTCCTGTCTCCCCCTCTTTTTCTCTAGTCCTCTCTCTCTCTCTCTTCTCCGCTTTCTCGCCAGGGCTGAACTCATTATGGGTTCACGCCCTTGGCCCACGCCCTCGGAGGAAGAAACACCTGTGCCTTATCAGTGTGGTATTTAAGAGGGGAAGCAACGGCTGTTCTTCGCTGGATCGTTGCGAGAATCGCGTCAGTGAAAGTCGAGCGCCCCAGCAAGTATTTTCCCATGCAGTGTATGTGTACAGCATTTAACAAGCGTCTCTTTGTGTACAGATTCCCTGGACTGTTCCCCGGGTGTGCGAGTGGATTCGTGTCTGGATTGTGTGGAGTAAGACGAGCGTGTTCCCCTGGATTTTCCCCGGAGCCCTGCCCCCTTCACCTTTTGTACATAGCACTGCCTCGCACCCCCTTGTAAATAGCACTACCTCATATCTGTGTATATACTCTCTCTTTGGACATTGTTCTACAATAAATTTCCTTGTGTGCATCATCCCCGGAGTCCAGCGCGTGAGTCCACCCCGTACGTCGTGACAACAGGCACATTGGAAATAAGCCTGGGCTCCACCGATGGGACTGTAGTGGTGTCGGGAAATGACACCATGGGTGCCGCAGGATGTGAGGGCACCTCAGGGATGAGGAGCCACAACTCATCGTCACTCAGATAGGTCCGCTCTAAATCTCCAGGCTCCCCCCAGACCCAGTAATGGCACTATTTGGTGTAGCTACAGTTAAAAACTTAAATAATAAACAAATTTGTGCTCTGAGTTTTATAACATTGCTTGCAAGACGCCTTATACTTCTAAATTGGAAAAATAAAGCCCCCCCAACTCATTCTGCTTTATTAAGAGACACAATGTATCATTTACAGTTGGAGAAAATTAAATTTTCATTAAGAGATAATGTTAAACAGTTTTACCTAATTTGGCAACCCTTTATAGATTACTTTAATAAGTAAAACTGGGAGGTATGGCCTCCTCCCATATCTGCCCCAAGAATATATATATGGGTCTACGCAGGTGTTGTTTTTTTTTTTGTTTTTTTGTTTTTTTTTTTGGGGGGGGTCATTTGTTTTGTTTCCCCCTCTCTCCCTCCTTTGAATATATTTATTTAGGATAATAAATGTGTATGTATAGACATAGATATGATTGTTTATACAATGGTAATTATATTTTATGTAAAAAGGATGGGGAGAGGAAGGAAGGGAAGGGGAAAAAGAGGGGAGGGGAAGGGAAAAGGGGAAAAAAGAAAAAAAAAGAACTATGTCAATGTAAATGAGATATATACTTTGTTGCCTGATTTGAATAAAGAAAGGAAAAAAAAATAAAATAAAATAAACATACTAGTGGGACTGACCAGCAGCGGTGGACCAAAAGAAAGCCACACATAGCTGAAGTTCCGAACACTGAACAGCACTTCATGAGGAATTTGTACAGGTCAGGCAGGTCAGAACAGTCAGTATGAATGTAAACCTGGTTGATATGCACACTCATTTAAAAGATGTAATTATTAGCAATTACCAGATAGCTGCACTGTTGATCATCCTGGATGAGTATTATCACAATGAAGACGTCTTGATGCATTCTCAATCATCCAGGAAAGTAAATCTCCAAAAGTTGAATCTGTTCATCTGGACGTAGCGTTTTTGTGGGAGAAATGTTTCATCACTCATCCAAGTGACTTTTTCAGTCTCAGCTGACTGCAGGTTTCCACAATCTTATAAACAGTACATTTGCATAATGACTGAAACCAGCCCACTGAAGGAACAATGGTTGGGAGGTCAGTTCCTTAATCTTAATTATGCAAATTCTCATGACCATTGATTAACAACCACTGACCAAAACCCACTGATCAAAGACCACTCATCAATGGCCATGAGTACCATTCACAGAGAGTTGGGGAATGGCTGCAACACCATGGATTTTGTTGAGAAGGTGAGAGATGTCATTATGGAGTCAGATGGTCTCGTACGACGTTACATCTCTCTTCACTTGCATCCCAGTCACGGAAGCGTTGGAGGTAGTCCATAAGATATTACAGGATGACACCAACCTCAGCAACAGGACCACTCTCAGCGTCGACCAAGTGTGTTTGCTTTTGAAACTGTGTCTTCATTCCACTTACTTCACATACAAGGGTCAATTCTACAGGCAGAAACATGGGTGTGCCATGGGCTCCCCAGTTTCACCCATCGTGGCCAATTTGTACATGGAAAAGAGGGCTTTGCCATCCTACCCTGGAACACCACCAAGCCATTGGTTCAGATATGTGAATGACACCTGGGTGAAAATCAAATCTCAGGACGTACTACATTTCACGGATCACATTAACTCGGTGGACTGACACATCAAATTCACCAGGGAGGATATGAAAAGTGTCAGGTTAGCCTTCTTAGACTGTGAGATTTCCATCAGTAATGGGGGACATCTAAAAGCGTAAACCTACACATACAGATCAGTATCTAAGGTTTGACTCTCATCATCCACTGGAGCACAAACTGGGTGTCATCAGGACGCTACAACACAGAGCGAACACCATCCCCACTGACACAGCGGCCAGGGAGGCAGAAGAACAGCACATCAAGAAGGCCCTGAGTAAATGTGGTTATCCCAGCTGGACGTTTGTCAAAGCTGGGTGCCAAGAAGGTGCCAAAAGAAAGCTCCAGCCGATCCAGGAGAGAAGGACAACCGCTGCCCAAGCGAAAACCTGTAGTGATCCCATATGTGTCAGGAGTATTGGAGCAGTTGAGACGCATTTTTTCTAAACACCGGGTCTCTGTGGCTTTTAAACTCCAAAACGCTGCGCCAAAAATTGGTCCACCCCAAGGATCGGGTCCCCCGACACAAACAGAGTAACATAGTGTACGCTGTTAAGTGCCAGGAGGATTGCCAGGATTTATACATCGGGGAAACCAAACAACCTCTGGCAAAGCGGATGGCACAACACAGAAGAGCTACCTCGTCCGTCCAGGACTCTGCAGTCTATTCACACCTACAGGCCAGTGAACACTCTTTCAATGATGAGGATGTACACATCCTGGACAGGGAGGAACGCTTGTTTGAGCGCGGAGTCAAGGAGGCCATTTACGTGAAAAGGGAAAGACCATCTCTGAATCGAGGAGGGGGCCTAAGGGTACATCTTTCGCCATCTTACAATGCTGTGATTGCAGCCATTCCCCAACTCCCTGTGAATGGTACTCATGGCCATTGATCAGTGGTCTTCGATCAGTTGGTTTTGGTCAGTTGTTGTTGATCAATGGTCATGAGAATTTGCATAATTAAGATTAAGGAACTGACCTCACAGCCCATTGTTCCTTCAGTGGGCTGGTTTCAGTCATTATGCAAATGTACTGTTTACAAGATTGGGGAAACCTGCAGTCAGCTGAGACTGAAAAAGTCACTTGGATGAGTGATGAAACATTTCTCCCACAAAAACGCTACGTCCAGACGAACAGATTCAACTTTTGGAGATCACAATGAAGAGTAATACTGCAACCGACCAGTCACATTGATCGGAAGGTTGGTGGTTCGATTCCTGGCTTCCCCTAGTCTGCATGCCAAATATCCTTGGGCAAGATATTAACCCCAAATTGGTCTCCAATGCATCCATCATAGTATGAATGTGTGTGAATGCTACTTAGAAAGCACATAGAACAATGTGCTTGTGCGAATGGGTGCGAATGGGTGAATGCACAAGTTGTGTAAAGCGCTTTGAGTGCTCAGAAGAGTAGAAAAGCGCTATATAAGAACCAGTCCATTTACCATTTATATAAACTCTCTTCTGGAACACATTGTCAATTTTTCAAGTGGGTTTTTTCTAATAATTAATGCAATATAACAAATTCATTATCAAATTAGGTTTGCTTTTTGCCAAATTTAGCTTGCTTTGCTTGTGATAGTTTTTAATAGCATTAGTTAGCTTCTTAGCTAATGCAAACTGAATGCTCTGACAATGTGATTGGTCAGTTGCAATGTTGCAGCTGGACTAACAGTGTTTTGATGATATAGGAACAACACCATCACAGAGGTAACAGATTGTCTCTGTCTGAAGCTGAGAAAAGTCTACCAGCAACTCCACCTTTCCTGTTTACGTGCCTCTATGTCTGTATTCTCAAATGAGCATATTTCCCCAACTATTAATAATTCTTTGAAAACAGAAGAAGTGTTCAAATTTTGCCAAAATTTCCTGATTTTAACAACAAGCCTTTTACATTCTTAGTCCATCATTGTTGTTGTTCGAAGCTCCAGAAACATTTTATTAAACAATTTAAAAAACAAAAACAAAAAAAAACAATACAGTTGAACAAAATACTTGTCCCATTGCTACACAATCACTTTTTTTGGAAAATAGGAAAACCTTAATGTGACTGGAATTATGCATTGAAATAGCATGTCCTAAAGTTACTGCTCTCTTGGCGGATCCGCATCTTCTTTTTTCTTCCAGAAGCCATCAAAGGAAAAGTAATATAAGAATGGATCTAGACAACAGTTCACAGCACTAAGACATATCAATGGCTTTAATTCAGTAGGTTTAACTGTAACTACACCTACTGACAAAGGTAGGAAACAGATAGTAAACAAAACCAAGTTTATGACAAATATCAGCATTACGTTCATCTTGTTGTTGATCGCAGAGTCACTGTGATGTCTGTGCAGTACCCAAGACACCATAACGGTCCACACAATGTTGACTGCTAGCATTGTGACTATTAACACAAGATGTACATTTGCTATACCTTTAGTTAAACCTGGTTTCCTTTTAGGACTGAAATCAAAACATCCACTGTGGTTCTCATTTTTTGGAAAGTCCAAAGTCTCTGGAACATTCAATACCAGCACAAATAGCCAGACTACTGCTGCTCCTTTCCAGGCATTGGATGAAGTTCGAAGATGGCGTGACCTCAGAGGATAAACCACAGCCAGAAGTCTGTCCACGCTGATGAAAGTAATGAAGAAGGCGCTGGAGCGGATGTTGTTGCGAAAGAGCATTGTGATGAATTGGCACATTATGTTGCTCAGAGGCCAGCTGCGGGTGGCGTGAAAGTAGATCCTCATGGGCAAAGAGATGATGACCAGCAGGTCTGATATTGCCAGGTTGACCATGAAGACAGCGTTGGGCGATTGGAGGCTGTGACGACGAAGAAGAATCCACAGTGCGACTGCGTTGAGAGGCAGACCTATCACCATAATGCAGCCAAAGACCCCAGCGTAAACCCTGTCCTCTGTAGTGACATTTGATGCGTTCATGATGAAGTTTCTGCCTCCTTATTAACTGAATTGCAGCTGAGCAGCAAACCTTCCACTCTCTGATGATTATCTGTGTGAAGTGAGGGTGGATTAGACTAGGGAGTGTGAAATATTGCAACAGGAAATCTGGTGGTGCAATTCGATCGTGGCCGCTGACGTTAATAGTTACCGGTATAACATTTTTAAATGAAATATCTTGTTTGACAAATAATAAACACACTTTTTTATACAATCTGACACCATTTAGAACCAATACTATTAACACCTGAGCCTAGGTTAACTGTAAAAGCTGTATTTCCCCCCCACTCCCAATGAAAAACAGGTAGCATTAAAACCAGTTTTTACCATTTTCTTTTTACTATTTTACAACTATAAACTAGTTTTACCGTGAAAAAGACAAACCAAACAGGCTGCAGGTCTACACCAACGCACAAAAGTGTTTCCACAGTTACGGAGCCAGCTATTTCCTTTTTTTCCAAGTAGTTGTGTCATGAGCTCTCGATTTGGATTTTGCATAGAGACATGTAAACTTGAGACTTCCTGTTTTTCACAAATAAGCTTATTTCATAAAATGTTACAAATAATTAGCAAAAAGTGACTGAATTCTCATAAAACAGCCTAGATTATTTTGCTATTTAAAGCTTTGATGATGCAGATTAACCTTTTTATGACTCTTAGAGCCTTGAGAAATTCAAGATTGTTCAAACGCTTTCAAAACCTCACATCGTCTGTAGTTTCTCTACCAGCAAAATGAGCCAGACGAGCGTAGATCCTTTTCAGGCACAGGACAAGGGTCTAAGATGGCATGGCGTCAAAGGAAAAACCAGAGCCATCAGACGTTCCAAGCTGATGACGGGGATGAAGTTGCCACGGAGAGGATGTTGTTAAAGAGCATTGTGATGAACAGTGTGTGAAGAGTTAAAAAGTTTCACTTACAATGTGGTTTGTTTTACGTGCTTGACAGTATCTTGTTCTGCGGTATGGACTTCCGGAGGTCTTTTTTAAACTCTCCAGCAGATAAAGACAGGTTGTTTCCTCAGTCGTCAAGTGTACAAAATGTACAATAAATCAGCTACAGTCCTGAAGCTTTAAATTTAAAGAATAGTTTTATGAAACTGTGAAGCTAACAAGTCTTTTCTCTATGTATCCCACTGCCTAAGCTTCACAAGTACATTTAACTGACAATTATTGTTGAGTTACTGGTGAAAATGTTGTTGGATTTTATTTATATAGCACCAATTCACAACGACAGTCACCCAAAGGTGCTTTATATTATAAAATAATATTAGAATGAAACCCCCAAAATTGCATGACTCTGATCAAACCTGTGGTAACAGTGGGTAGAAAAAAAGTCCCTTTCTAACAGGAAGAAACCTCCTACAAACCCAGGGTCAGGGAGGGCAGCCATCTGCCACAAATCATTGGAGGTGAGTGGAAAGACAAGAAAGCAGAGAGAAGCAAGTCAAAAGACACACAATAGTACAATAAGCTCAGTTTCAGAACTTAGGAATTGGGATATTATGCTTGCACTAAATGAGCATTTTGTGCAATAACAAGTTAGTTCACCAAAAAAAAAAAAGAAAAAATTCATGTCAAAAAGAAAATATCATACCAAAAATAACATGTCAAGCGTCTACATTTCTCCTCCCTTCATTGCATCTTCCTTTTTCTTCCAAAAGGAGTCAAAAGAAAAGTAATACAGCAGAGGATCGAAACAGCAGTTCACAGCAGCAAGACATACAAGTGGGGTTAAATGAGCAAAACTTTTTGTGGCTAAACCTATTTGCACAGGCAAGAAACAGATCGTGAATAAAACCAAATTCATGGCAAAAATCAGCATTACATTCACCCTTTTGTTGATCTTTGCAGTGTCACTGGGACGGTTGCATAGAGTCCAAGACACCATAATGGTGCAAACAATGTTGACTGCTAGCATTGTGATGATTAACACCATATACAAATAAATAACTGCTGATTGTGTTGCACTCATAGAAACAGTTCCAAAACAAGTGGCATTGTTTCTGTTTTTAAAACGTTTTAAGTCCATAAACCATGGGACATTCATTAACAGAACAAATAGCCAGACCACTGCTGCTCCTTTCCAGGCATTGGATGAAGTTCGAAGATGGCGTGACCTCAGAGGATAAACCACAGCCAGAAGTCTGTCCATGCTGATGAAAGTAATGAAGAAGGAGCTGGAGCGGATGTTGTTGCGAAAGAGCATTGTGATGAATTGGCACATTATGTTGCTCAGAGGCCAGCTGCGGGTGGCGTGAAAGTAGATCCCAAAGTAGACCCCAGCGTAAACCCTGTCCTCTGTAGTGATGACTGACGTGTTCATGATCACAGAAGAGATTTTTCTGTTCTTTATAAAGTATTATAGCTGAGCATTCAAAGTTCCTCTCAGTGCCGTTTATTTGTGTGAGGTGCGTTGAGGAAAGTTTTTAAGAGTAAATTGAAATGAAGTGGCACAGGAAATTTGTAGACTCATCTCAAGAGTTGTGGTTGATGACGTAAATTGAGTTTTTCTGTGTGGTGTATGCTATAATTAAATCCAAATGTTGTTATACCTCAAATAAATATATCTTAACTATTTCAGATAGTTAAGATCTAGCTCACATTAATGGTTATTATGAATTAAATATATATGTTATATCTCCTGTCTAGAATAGAATAGAATAGAATAGAATGCCTTTATTGTCACTATAGAGTTGTACAATGAGATACAGAGCATCTCCTACTCAGTGTAAACATGATGGGGGGTACAGTTCTGCAGCGCTATGTACATATGGACAGTATTAACATAGGGAAAAACATATATATATATATATAAAATGTACAATATACAAGACGTAAGTAATATGTAATAAATAGTGTTATGTATATACAGTTGAGTTATTGCACATAGAATTGGTATTGCATAGTGGTGGTCCATAAAGGAAGTGGGAAGTGGGGGGGCTGTGTTATCTGTGCATGTGTGAGTTCAGGGTGGTTATCGCTTTGGGGAAGAAACTGTTTTGGAGTCTGTGGGTTTTTGTGTTGATGCACCTGTAGCGCTTCCCTGAGGGAAGCAGGCTGAACATGTTGAAGCCAGGGTAAGAGCTGTCCTTGATAATGTTTGCTGCTCTGCTGAGGCAGCGGGAGGAATAAATGTCCATCAGGGAGGGGAGAGGGCAGCCGATGATCTTTTGTGCTGTCTTGACCACACTCTGAAGCCTCACTCTATCTGCTTTGGTGCAGCTGCCGTACCATACCGTGATGCAGTAGGTTAGCAGGCTCTCAATGGAAGAGCAGTAGAAGGTCAGCAGCAGGTTGGAGTTCAGCTTGTACTTCCTGAGGACTCTCAGGAAGTGCAGCCGCTGTTGGGCCTTCTTGATGACCGCTGAGATGTTTCCTGTCCAGGAGATGTCAGCAGAGATGAGGACACCAAGGAACCGGAAGGTGTGGACCCTCTCCACACACTCCCCGTTGATGTAGAGGGGGGCCAAGTCGGTGCTGTGTCTCCTGAAGTCAACAATGAGCTCTTTGGTTTTCTTAGTGTTCAGTGCCAGGTTGTTTTCTGAACACCATGCTGCCAGCTTCAGGACTTCCTCTCTGTACTCTGCCTCGTCTCCCTTCGAGATGAGTCCGACTACCATGGTGTCATCAGCAAACTTGATGATGAGAGTGTTGTTGTGGGTCGAACTGCAGTCGTGGGTGTAGAGAGAATACAAGAGGGGGCTCAGCACACAGCCCTGTGGGGAGCCGGTGCTCAGTGTGCGAGTGGAGGAGAGATGAGGGCCGAGTCTTACAGTCTGGGGCCGGTTTGTGAGGAAATCCTTTATCCAGGCACATGTGAGCCTGGATAAAGTCTAGGGCTAACTGTAAACATTGCTAGTTGTGTGATTCCTTCCACCCCACTTCCTCTAACAGAAATCGTTAATCAGTGTTCAGAGGAAAAACTGTCATTACATTCAGATATCAACCAAGCTTGAAAAACCAAACACACGTTCACTTATCAACATTAAACTTCCTTAGCAAGAAAGTCAAAGTATAAATAAGTGTTTGACCTAAAATTCTATGGATTACAAATAAGAAACAAAAATATAACCAAGGGTAACTGTTTAACAAGAAGAGCTTTTCATTTAAACTAAACTGCTGCTAGATGCACTTTATCCAGAATGCAATATTATATGAATGTACAATTGCAACTAATTCAATAAAAGGACACGATGTTACAATCCCTGATAATGCATTGCTTCAAATCGAGAAAGTCTTGAGGAATGGCTACTATGAGGAGTGTGTTTAATGAAAAATTGCAACCAAGCACAACATTCACAGTTTCCTCTAGTGCAGTTTGTGTAGGTGAAATAAGATAAGATAAGACTATGGAGGGTAGAAAGTAAAAGCTACAACAGCAAGTTTGCTGAGGTACTTCAAGAGTTGTGCCGCAAATTAATCATGCAGTTTTCTTTCGATATGCTTTAAAACATTTTGTAATGTAATATCTTATTACACATCAGCTTTTATAAGATCTGACGTAGTTTACAAAACCACTCACACGGTTATGACATGGTTATAATAAAATAATATTATAAATAATTCGTTTTTGTTACATCCCTAATCTATGCAAAAAATAGACATGTTGTGACATGTGACTCCCATGTTCTTTAAAAGTCCAAAGAGTGACCACAGAATGAATGGATGGCCAGCACTGTGTAATATTTACACATTGGGAGTTATACTTATAGCCGTTATTTAGTGGTCAACTAACATTTATACAACTTTCATATTTTTTTTAAATAAAATTAGTGTTTTTTTGGATCAGTGGCACAAATCTGTTTAATGTGCAAATACTGTATTTGCTAGAGGACCCTGCAAATATGAGGGTTTACCATCCAAAAGTGACCACATAAAACATCAACTTGTCAGAGAGTCTGTGTTTCACTTTTCAATGTTATTATTGTAATTTTAGTGCTCTGTAATGGCTAGTAAGATTTCCTGTTTGTTCTTAATACTCAATGATGTTTTGTGTTCTTATGATGGTACATTTTTACATCAAGGATTGATGCTATTATGCATATTTTCTATGGATGATAAGGAATAGCAAATTCCAATCTTGTGTGTTCATGCTAGCTAAAAGTAAATTTCCAAATATTTGATAATACAAGATCTGAAAGTACAAGATTTTTTATTAATAGGTCTGCTAGTTTAGATTATGAGGAGAATATATTATATTTGTTGGTAATATTGCTTACATCCTTTATGTATTCCTGTTTTAAGAGTGTCATATTAATTGAATATAGGCATTCAATTTGATTTACTGTTGTTCTGCTAATCATGGCAGGTTTCAGTGTTGCACTTGTGTTTTTCAGTAATAAACAGGCTCTGTTGACCACCAATATAATATTTGTTTTTTCTTCATTCTTTTGGAAAGCACTGTAAACTATTTACCATGCAACTGATCTGGTATTAGGCTACAGTACACATTATTAAAATCTATGTGAGACTGAACTCTCTGTGCCCTACTCTCTGACTGGAGTCCCTGTCCGTAAAGGAGTTACCAAACCAGCTCCCCGGTGATATTTGCTCTGAGATCCCTAAGCATCTCTTGGGCACAGCAAAAATAAGTTGTAAACATATTGGCTTATTGTCCACTTTTAATGCAGTAAACTTGTTTCTAAACTTGCAGCTGGGGCTTTTTATATACAGTGGGGCAAAAAAGTATTTAGTCAGCCACCGATTGTGCAAGTTCCCCCACTTAAAATAATGACAGAGGTTAGTAATTTGCACCAGAGGTACACTTCAACTGTGAGAGACAGAATGTGAAAAAAAAATCCATGAATCCACATGGTAGGATTTGTAAAGAATTTATTCGTAAATCAGGGTGGAAAATAAGTATTTGGTCACCTCAAACAAGGAAAATCTCTGGCTCTCACAGACCTGTAACGTCTTCTGTAAGACGCTTTTCTGTCCCCCACTCGTTACCTGTATGAATGGCACCTGTTTGAACTCATCATCTGTATAAAAGACACCTGTCCACAGCCTCAAACAGTCAGACTCCAAACTCCGCCATGGCCAAGACCAAAGAGCTTTCGAAGGACACCAGGAAAAGTATTGTAGACCTGCACCAGACTGGGAAGAGTGAATCTACAATAGGCAAGCAGCTTGGTGTGAAAAACTCAACTGTGGGAGCAATCATCAGAAAATGGAAGACATACAAGACCACTGATAATCTCCCTCCATCTGGGGCTCCACGCAAGATCTCATCCCGTGGGGTCAAAATGATCATGAGAACGGTGAGCAAAGATCCCAGAACCACACGGGGGGGACCTGGTGAATGACCTGCAGAGAGCTGGGACCAAAGTAACAAAGGTCACCATCAGTAACACACTACAACGGCAGGGAATCAAATCCCGCAGTGCCAGACGTGTTCCGCTGCTGAAGCCAGTGCATGTCCAGGCCCGTCTGAAGTTTGCCAGAGAGCACATGGATGATACAGCAGAGGATTGGGAGAATGTCATGTGGTCAGATGAAACCAAAGTAGAACTTTTTGGTATAAACTCAACTCGTCGTGTTTGGAGGAAGAAGAATACTGAGTTGCATCCCAAGAACACCATACCTACTGTGAAGCATGGGGGTGGAAACATCATGCTATGGGGCTGTTTTTCTGCCAAGGGGACAGGACGACTGATCCGTGTTAAGGACAGAATGAATGGGGCCATGTATCGTGAGATTTTGAGCCAAAACCTCCTTCCATCAGTGAGAACTTTGAAGATGAAACGAGGCTGGGTCTTCCAACATGACAATGATCCAAAACACATCGCCCGGGCAACAAAGGAGTGGCTCCGTAAGAAGCATTTGAAAGTCCTGGAGTGGCCTAGCCAGTCTCCAGACCTCAACCCCATAGAAAATCTGTGGCGGGAGTTGAAAGTCCGTGTTGCTCAGTGTACCTCTGGTGCAAATTACTGACGTCTGTCATCATTTTAGGTGGGGGAACTTGCACAATCGGTGGCTGACTAAATACTTTTTTGCCCCACTGTACTTTATAGCCTTAAATGTGCCTCTCTATTGTGTTCTACTCTCTTCTGGAACGCTGATAATGTAAAACAAGCCATGCAAATGTGTCCTCTGCATTGATCTGAATGGAAGATAACCTTAACCAGAGCAACAACTAGCACGGTGATAAAACCAGCCTGACATTATGAACCTGTGAAACATGCCACTGCTTGCCATGTACGTGGGTTTCATCAGCGCTCACTTAGAGCAAATTGCAAGACATAGAGATGTCTGCAAGTGATACCGAAGATAACGCAGATGGTTGTTCTGCACAGAGTTAGCAGTGCCTTTTCCTCTTGGGCCTGATTTCTTATCTTGTTTTGGAGGGTTTTTTGGGGGGTTTTTTTTTTTTTTTGGGGGGGGGGTGTTGAGAAAACAAACACAAAAACAAAAGATTCCACTGTGATATTTGAACCAGAACCTCTCTGTTAAAGTTCATGCAACCAAAGTAGAGTTGGCTAACATGACTAGCATTCAGCTCTGTGCTCATAATTTTACCGTCTGCTGCCACACTGGCTGACTTGAACATTGCAATTGCTGTCACTGCTGTTGCTGTCTGCAATGAGACAGCTCTGCGAGGCAGACATGACAACCAAATAAAAAAGGTTTTAACAGAAAAGACTGTAATACAAAATCTATTAGACTTAATTTGAAATTCTGGTAGAACTATAATATAATATAGTATTTGTTCTAAAATTAAAGTATAATTTGTATTTACCTACAAATATTTACTGATAGATACACTAGTAATGATTCAAGTTTTTAGTGCGAAGAAGAAATAATTATACTGTAAGTAATTTGAATTATACTTTAGGTATATTGCAGGAAAGGAGAAATAACTTTAAGTAGTTCATAACTACTTAACAGTTACGCACAGGTAAGAGTCTCACTACCTCTTGGTGAGTAGTTTGCATTGGCACATATATCAACATTGTACACATCCTGAATGTAATGGTGTCATTCCATAATATTTGGATTGTATGTTTTAATACATAGATAGATAGATAGATAGATAGATAGATAGATAGATAGATAGATAGATAGATAGATAGATAGATAGATAGATATGAACTTAGCCTCTGTGTGGACATAGGATAGTCTCTCTCACTAGGAAGCCGCAAAAAGTTGAAAACGGCCCTCTGTAACTCAACCATTCAGAAAAAAGCTGTTACAAAGCAGAGAGGTCTAATTACAGGACGAGGCTGATGCTCATTTCTGCTGAGCAGTTTTTATTAGTGCGCACGCACACACACACACACACACACACACACACACACACACGCACACACACACACACACACACACACACACACACACACACACACAGGAGCCCTTCAGGGACTATATATGGGACCCATAGAGTGACGTCTTGTGTGTTACAGAGTGGATATAGCATTTAAGATGAATTTCTTAACATTGCGCTGTCTCCTTCCTCTGCTACTTTTAAACTTTGTTTATTCTGGTGAGTTAATGAAAATTCCACTAAATGTGATACTTTAGATCTTGATATAAAGTACTGTGCACAGGCCTTGACCAATTCCTTATTGCTTCATAATTTCCTAGGGAATTAAGAAATAACTGCTTATTAAAATGTTTAAAA